GAGGCGGAGAAGCCGAGCAGCACCCCACAACAAGGCCGTGATTTAGCAGCAGTCATAAGGGGGGGGGAGAGAAGCGATCTGGGACATTTTCCTCTCCAGGGCAGAAGGGGAGAGGAGACCGCAGACCGAGGTCGCGGCCCTCCGAGGCAGAGCGCTGCTCCTGTGCGTGCGCCCCTGGCGGACCTGCTGGCAGCAAGACACGCCCGGCCCCGCCGGGGAGACGCAAGCTGGTCGGCTAACTCACCCGGGCCACTGGCGCAGCGGCGCAGCGGCGGGAACTTTAGGCACGCAGACGGGGCGGGGCTGGCCCGGAGGAGCAGGAGCGGGCACTCCGGCGCCAAAAGACCCCACTGCCCCCGGGGGAGGCTGAGCACCTTCCTGGAAATTTCGGGGGAGGCTGACGCCCCCCCGCCCCCCCGCAGATTACGCCTATGGGGACAGCCATGCTTTAGGAGACTGAATAGAAGCCGTACTTTGAGATACAGCCATGCTTTAAGGAAATTCAGGGGAAACCATGGAGACACAGCCATTCTTTGCAAGTGTTTGAAGAAAGCCATTATAGGAGACAAATGTGTTTCAGAACAGCAAGTAGGCTTTAACATCCACAAGCTCATGGACTGAAGAGAAATGACCAATCATCTGTATAAGAAGGTAACAGACCAGGAACCATTAAGTTATATTTGCCTATTTCTTTAACATCACAGAGATAAGTTTAGATTTAGGGAAAGAGGTTGCTGTTGTACATATCTGATATTTCTATGCTCAAATGTAGTAGTCCTAAGCTTTTCAACGGTACGTATTTTCTGTGTATCAATTGTATGCTATATTCTTTAAGATAAGTTTTTTTCTGATATTGAAGTCATTTGGGTCTCTGCAACTACAAAGAAAGACCCAAGCTTTGGACTCATGTGTACCAACATTAAGAGAGCTTGCATAGTTGGAAATATCTCTAACTAGTGAAATTTCCAAGTTTTTGGGAGCTGAGAGAGGAAGATGATATTGATACTTTTAAAGGGAGTGTGGCCCAGGCCTTCAGACTTCAATTGTAGCTGAAGCCTGTGGTGGCTGTGGAATGAGGAGGTCAACTCACCAATGAGGTCTCAGCTTAAGACCGGGTTTGATTCCCCACTCCTCCACTTGCACCTGCTGATGTGACCTTGGGTCAGTCACAAGCTCTGGCACAGCTGTCCTTGAAAAAGAGCAGTGTGTGTCAGAGTTCTCTCAGCCCCACCCACCTCACAGGGTATCTGTTGTGGGGAGGGGAAGGGAAAGGAGTTTGTAAGCCGCTCTGAGACTCCAAGTGAAGAGTGGGGTATAAATCCAATCTCTTCTCTTCTTCTCTAAAAACAAGGGCCTAAGGGGTCATTTTACCACATGGTGTATCTTTGGTTTTGTTTCCTTGCAGGTTTTAAAATGTACACTTAATAAGTCTAATCAGTGTGGATGCACAGTTCTCTTCCTGATTGTCTATTTGTTTTCAGTGTGTGGGACACCCCTCTTCCATTCAATTTATTTGTTTAACAGACAGCAAAGGGGGGGGGGAGAGGGACTTCAGAGAGTTTAATTCCATTTCAAAGGAGCACCAAAGAAGTATGTGTTTTACTAAAAGTAACATTCAAGTCAAGTCATTTAGTCAGGATAGCACAATCAAGCATTTTGCATGCCATTTGAGATCTAGTAGGTATGTCACAACACACCAATTTATTCCATATTGCCAACAAAACTGTTTCTTCATTAAATATATTTTAATATTAAATATTAATATTAAATATATACTATTTGTGTTCTGATAACTGTTTTGACAATGCCCTTGGACTAGTCAGCACACTGAATTTCATTGATTTTTCTTTTCTCAGCATTGGAGCGCTTGTTGGCTTGTCAGTCGCAGCAGTGGTCCTGCTGGCTTTTATCATCACTGTGTGTGTTCTCTGTTACTTGTTTATCGGAACGAAGCCACGCAGCAAACTGGATACAGGCTTAAACTTAAGCTTACAGACAGCAGGTAAAATATCTCTTTATCCAGTAGGGAATATACAGACATGCCCTCAGTTGAAAATAAAGCAGTAGAACTGGTGTGATCCCTTGGAGCCTCCCAAGAACAAATGGTTCATGCTGTACTTACACTTGGTTGTGGTTTTAGAGTCAGATGGATTAAAGGAAGAAGAAGCAACCTTTAAAGTCATCAAGGGATATGCTCTAGGAGAACAAAGATCCTGTTGGGCCATAACACAGTCACTCAGCACAGCTGTCATTATGGTAAGAAAATCACAGCCCAGCAATAAAGGTTTCCATGTTGTTTGAGAGGGAGAGAAAGGGGTTGTTGTACTGCTTTTTAGAGTACATACATCTGGCTTGGGAAGAGTTGGCATCTCCTTCAAGATGTCCATGAACCAATTCCCACAGACATAAACTGATCATGTTTCAAGTTGAAGGAGGGTAGTAGAAATGGTTGTTGGGTTTTTTGCTTCCTTTACCTAGTAGAGAAGGTAAGCATGGTTTGCAGGAAACCACAGCAGCTTCCACACCATTCCAAACAGCATTAATGTAGCAAAACCAAGCTCAGGTTCCAGAGACAAAGTACTTAGAGTTTAGAGGTGGATAGTCTGGGAATCCTGAGTACATGGTGAGAAACAGGAATTTATTCTTTGGTACTGAGACATCGGATCACCCTGCCAACAAACGTCTGTATGGTCAAAGTAATGTATGGCTGTGTTGGAGCATAAGGAAGGCCGAGTACTGAAGAATAGATGCTTTTTAATTATTATGCTGGATAAAACTCTCGAGAGCCCCTTGGACTGCAAGGAGATCAAATCAGTCAATCCTAAAAGAAATCAACCCTGACTGTTCCCTGGAAGACCAGATACTAAAGCTGAAGCTCAAATACTTTGGCCACCAAATGAGAAGGAAGCACTCACTGGAGAAGACCTTGATGTTGGGAATGATTGAAGGTAAAATAAGAAGGGGATGACAAAGGATGAGATGGTTAGTGTTATCAATGCAACGAATATGAAGTTGGGCAGACTCTGGAAAACAACGGAAGACAGGAGGGCCTGGTGTGATATGGTCCGTGGGGTCATGAAGAGTTGGATTCAACTGTGTGACTGAACTACAACAACAGTTTTCAAAGCATCTGCTTTTGCAGAATGAGAAAGACCGAGCAGTCAGTCTGGAAACTATCTGTGAACAAGCCTGAAGTGCAGATAGAAATAATGACAGTAGCCCTATCAATAGAGACAGTGGAAATGTCACTTGCTTCCCTTGCTCGAAAGCCAGTCGAATCTGACTCTAGGGTTGTGGTGCTCATCTCCATTTCAAAGCTGAAGAGCCAGCGCTGTCCAAAGACATTTCCATGGTCATGTGTCCGGCATGACTAAACATGTTTGCTTCCCAAAGCAGCCCACATAAAAGTGATAACAATTTTGGCTGTGTTTTTATTCTTCACTTTAATTTCCAGTGATTTGTAAATGACCATTTCCTAAGTTGTCCTTGCCACGTTTAAATAAGCTAACTTACTTTCCTTTGAGATGTCATGATTGGGTTGGGCAGAAATGAGCTCACAAACAAATTCATGATTAATTTTGGCTGGTTTGTGGCTCACAAACTTGTCTCTGTTCAATCAAATTTTTTACCAAGCTTCAAAGCAACATAACTTGGAGAACATGTAGAGCAGAATCAGGGGGACGTCCCCTATGAGTTTGATGTCTCTAGCTTGTACAGGGTCTGTTTTGTATACTCCTGAACCTCTTCAACCTTCTCCTGTCATTTCCCCAGAAAGTACTTTCCTGGGGGCATCTTCTTTGGGGGGCTGTAACTCAAACCCTCTAAATCCAAATATCAGCAAACTTGGAAGGCAGGTAGATGAGAGTCAGACAGAGATTCCCTGCGAGTTTGGTATCTCTAGTATGTGGGGGAGGGTTCTACTGTGTCACAAACCTCACAAACTGAACCAATTTGTTTGGCACCTAAAAGTTTCTGACAGTTTGTGGCTCACAGGCCAAACATGCCATGAATCACATTTTCTCAGTTCATGCCCATCCCTAGTCATGATCCACACAAGTTTTTCCTTTTCTTCTATAAGGTAGTGAGATTTAGCATGCTTATATATTACTGCCAGCAGGGGTCATTTCATAGAAAAAAAGGTGCAGTAGCTCATTAGCATAACTTATTTGCATATGCCACACACCCTGACATCACTGGAAGTGTGGCAGAAGGCAACACCCACCGCTCAGGCTCCACTGGACTGTTTTGGATTGCTAGCTATTGGGGGGACACACGCAGATCTCCCCTCACAGAAGAGGGAGAGCTTGTACCTGAAGGCGGGCCGGGGAGTGGGGGCTCTGCAACTTACTTGGCTGCTTCTTGCTCCTTGTGGCCCGACTGAGGACTGCTGAGCGCAGGGGGCGGGGCTTGTTGCATGTGCCCGCCCCCTGGGCTCCTTACTGCCAGAGCTCCGCTCCTGTGCGCTCCCACAGGAAATGACCCCTGACTGCCAGTATCAATCTGTTTGTTTAGCGGAGCAAGCAGTTGGACTTTAAAAAGATAGCCTCATTACCACTGATGAAGAAATGCTAACAAAGTAAAACATACTGAGGGCCTGTGGACTAGTCAACGTATGAAATTTTATCAAAAGGCAATGTCTTCCTACTTAGGGATCTCAAACTGACAGGTCAGGTTTTTGCTTTTGTTTTGGGGAATTCTTGCCATTTAAAGATGACTCATAAAGTATTTGTATTCTGTCCCAACTCCCTAGAGTTCCCCCCCCCCCAAAAAAAATTTTTTTAGGTAATACATATTAACTCCCTCTTCATGATATTTTAATTGACCGGGAAAATTCAGATGTACAGGGATAAAAGGAGACCAAATTCTGTTTTTGCAACCTTTGCATGATTATACTGCAAGCCATTGCAGTTACTCCAGTCTAAATTCATTGAAATCAATAGCCTGAGACAGGACTAACTGTACTGGATTGTTACTTACCTCCCTATGAACAGGGTATTACTGTCTCCTCCCATACTATCCATCCTGTCATTTAAGACCTGCCTCTCAAGCCCTGCTCTCTCTGCCCCTGCCTTCAGAGGTGAGGTGGGTGGCAGCTAGAAACAAGACATTTTCTGTGGTGGTACCTCTCCTCTGGAGCACCCTCCCCCTTGAGGCTCACCAGGAGCCTATTTGGCTTTCTTTTAGACATCAGGCAAAAACACATCTTTTAACCAAGACTTTTGATTAGTGGACTTATCCTAGCAGCTTTTTAATGGTCTGCTTTTGTTTTATGGATCGTTCTATGTCTAATGGTTTGTTTTTAATATTGTGATGCAGTTTTAAGTAGAAGCCACCTCAAGCAGGACTCTGCAGAGACAGTACAGAAATATCATAAATAAATGCTGCACCATCTTATATTTCTGAGCCATTTACAAGGACAGCCTCGTGTAGTTTCCATAATCTGCCCTGGAGACATGGGAGATAGTTATCAAATCCCTGAGCCTAGGCTTGGCCACAAGCTGTGATCTGACATATTGCGGTGTTAGTGACCAGTAGTGACATATTGCAGTGTTAGTGACCAGCAGTGGCATCAGCCCCAGGAAAATATTTAGGTTATGATTCTGGTTAGACAATGCTAGGGTAGCCCTGTCCTCTCCAAAGCATGCAGATGCCCAACTGTATCATGTTCATCTTGTCTGGATTCAGTTGCAATCTGTACACTCCTAGTGACTTCAGTGAGCTCTGAGTTGGGCACATCGTCAGTGTTCTTCCGCCATGTGTAAATCTACTGTTTGCTACTGAGTTATCAAAAATGCTCTTCAAAGATCAAATATTCCCAAATTCTTAGTAACATTTACATTATATGTTACATTTTTGATAGCAATTAGAACTTCCTTATAAAAACTGGACTATTTTGTCTCATTTTATTTATTATTTATTCATGAAATTTATACCCTACCTTGCTGCCCTTGTCAGGGCCACTAAGGCAGCTAACAGATTAAAAATATACATAATAAAAACACATCTTAAAAACCATTAAAACCAAACAAAAACATCATTAATACAATTAAACCTAAGTTAAAATACACATACACATTTTAAAAAGTGTGCATGCACAGGAAAGCTCATATCTTGAATAAAACTTTGTTGGTCTTAAAGGTGCCACTGGACTCTAAATTTGTTACATATGCATACAGCAATTAAAATCAAGCAGGAAGGAAGGATCACTGAGGGGAAACCAAATGAAACACAAAAGTCTTCGTCTGCTAGCAAAAGACAGGAACAGGAGCGGGAAGTCTCTCTAGAGCAGGGGTGTCAAACACCCCGCAAGGCCCTGGCTGTTTCCTACTTCCCTTTGCAGTTCTGCGGCTGCTGCCATGTTACAGCTTGCTTTACCAGTCTCAATCGCACAAGAGAGATTGATAGGTTCTCCTATGCAATTGAGAGAGTCTGATAAAGAACTTGCTGAGGCTCCTCCCAGGGGGAATGAGGGAACAGCTAGAACTCACTTCCTGGCCAGGCTGCAGGAGACAAAGGGCAGCCTTTCTTCCCTTCCAGTGGCTGAGGCTCCTCCCCAAAGGGAGGGCAGGAACGAGGGAGAGCTTGCTTTGCTGGGCTGTAGGGCTGCCAAGCCGCGGCGGGGGATCTGTGCGTCTTCACAGGATCCCTGCCACGTGGGACAGCGATACACATTGCACCGCCGTCGCCAGGATGTGACGCTACGTGTCGCTCTGGCAACGGGGTGCCGTTGCCAGAGCAATGCGTAGCATCACATCCTGGCGACGGTGGTCCAACGCGTGTCGCTGTCCCCTGCGGCAGGGATCCTGTGTGTGTGTGTGTGTGTGTATTTTGTTGGACTCTTTATGCCAGGGCTCTCCTGGGTGCAGCTGGGTACCCTCCCCCTTTTCACTGTATTCATACCCTCATGATCCAGTCTTTCTCAGTAAGAAAGCAATGTGAGCTATTTTAGAAGATGAATAACAACAAGCCAGTGAGGTGGATTAGGCTGAGAGTGTGTGTCCAGATCAAGTTCAAGTAGGAAGTTGTAATTATTTCTCTGGGGAAGAGTATAGCTTTGTAGACAAACACATGGCCCTTAGTCTGTGTTAGGATGCCTTCTCATGTTCTTGACCAGCACATGAAGCAACTTATGTACAAAAGGTTGCAATGCCCAGCCATTTCATGTTTTCCCCTGGGTCCTAGGCTAGAAACACTGAGCATGAAATTTCTGTAATAAATGTCAATAAATCAAAAGTAGGTTTGCAGCTTACAGATACACACCTGAACAGCATACTCAGGATTGCTACAGCACAGACATTTTGATGCAATATTTCAGAGCAGAGGTGTCAGTTATCAGAGACTGTTAAATAGACAAAATATTGCAAGAGTGCTAGTGTTTTAAGCATGTTTTATTTAAAGTTTAAAAAATCTTTATTTGTGTTTGTCTGTGTCCTTTATAAAGTTTATATCTCTGCTACTTGGCATTACATTTTATGATACACACGCCCGGCCCGGCTCATTTATGTCAGATCTGGCCCTCATAACAAATGAATTCGACACCCCTGCTCTAGAGAGAGAGTTCCAGAGTTTTGGTGCCATGACCAAGAAGGCCCTTTCCCAGGTTGTCACCCACCAAATCTCAAATGGCAGGAGTAACTGAAGCAAGGCCTCAGATGATGACTGTAGTAGGTTTGTAAGGGTGATATTTAGGTATATTGGTCCCAAGGCATGTAGGGCTTTAAAGTTCACCAGAATCTTGAATTGTGCCTGGAAACAGATTGGAAGCCAGTGTAGATGGGACAAGACTGGAGTGATATGGTCCCTATGACCTACTCCAGACAACATCATGACTGCAGCATTCTGCGCCAACTGAAGCCTCTAAACACTTTTTCAAGGGCAGCCCTGTGAAGCACACATTGCAGTAATTGAATTTAGATTTAACCAGGGCATGCATCATAGTGGCCTGATCTTTTCTAACCAGAAAAGGGTATAGCTGGCTAACCAGTCAAAACTGCTAGTAGACGCTCCTGGCCACAGCTGCCACCTGCTTATCCAGCAGTAGACTTGGGTCCAAGAGCATCCCCAAACCACAGACCTTTTCCTTCAAAAGGACCCCCTTCCAAAACAGATGACACCTTAAGTCCTAGCCCAGACTTTCTGCTCACCAGTAGTACTTTTGTCGTATCAGGATTAAGTTTCAGTTGATTAGTTTGCATCCACTCCAAAACTGCCTCTAGGCAGTTCAGAGTTTCTACAGCCTCCCTAGGATTGGCTGGAAGTGCAAGATAGTGTTGAGTGTCATCTGCATATTGGTGACATCCCAGACACAATCTCTAGATGACCTTACCCAGCAGTTCCATGTAGATGCTGAAAAACATAGGGGACAATATGGAGGATTGTGGAACCCCACAGGCCAAAGGCCAAGAAGTTGAACAGCAGTCGTCCAGCACAACCTTCTGAAACCCCCCAGATAGGACCAGAAACACTGCAAAACAGCACCTTCCAATCCCAGCCTGCAAAGGCAGTCCAGTAGGATACTATGATTGATGGCTCTGAAAGCTGCTGAGAGATCCAGGAGAATCAACAGAGCTGTACTCCACTCCCTCTGTTCATCTTCTGATGCAGGCCATCCACCATGGTGAACAAGGCTGTTTCATTCCCGTAACCAGGCCTGACACCAGACTGGAAAGGATCCAAAATATCTGCAGCATCCAGGAATGTTTGAAGTTGTCCAGCCAGGTGTCCTAAGCCAGGCTGTAGACAGGTCTCTAGGTCAGCTAAGGAATTACTCAATCACCATGTAAATTATATCAATAAGAGAAATTATTCATGATAAAAAGTCCCAGTTCCTATAGAGAGATAAGAAATGGCTTTTGGGGAATATTCTGCATACTAAGAAAATTAATGGCAGGACTTCTATTTGACTTAATTAGTAAGATTTCTTTGTTTTGGGTTGGGTTGTAATAGGACATTGCCCAGAGGTGCCAAGTATATGATCTTGTTAATTAAAATATGATAATTTCTTGTATCCCAGTTACTGCAACAAGACTACTTGGCTTAAATTTAATTCCAGGTCAAATAGTCTGTTTTGTGAGTTCAGGGTACTGTGAATTTTTTCCCCATTGAATATTCTTTAGCCTTAAATAAGAACTTAAACCATCATCAATCAGCATCAGCCTTTTTTCTAGTAATTCTTTGTGACTTTCAAAACTGATGGGGGGTCAAAATAATAATTATGAAGTATAATTGTGTCTCACTGCATGATAATTATCAGCTCAGAAACCTTGAAATATGGGACTCACTGAGTGCTAGCGTCCTCTAAAGAACATCTTTTAAATTGATAATAATGTCAGACTTCATTAACAAAAGTACATTTCTAGCCCTTGTGTTTGTGATTAAATACTGGAAATGTTGGTCCTAGAGGCTTCAATAGAAGTATACAAAGACATTACTAATATTACCATTCTCATAATTTTAAGATGTGTCTCATGCTTTCTAATATGGTACTGGCCTGGGGACTCCGATAGTGAATGGATAGATGCCAAAGTTGTTCATG